GCACGTCATGCCCTCTTTCTCTGGGCGCGCGCCCGCAAAAGGAAGGGAGAGCAGCGTTCATCTTGAAATTTTGCCCAATTTCGTGGCACTAACGTTGCAAATTTTGGCAGACGTGATCATGAACGCCTCATCTACGCATCGCAGTTGTCAGCTCAAAATTGTGAAACCTGGTGAGTGGCCCTTTAAGTTAATCAGTGGTGAATAATGGCATTTATCTAACTGCTGTGACCTATGCTGATTTATGTATATAGTTTCCCAGTAGTACTGCACAAATTACAAGTAGTTTTCACAGCTCTGCTGTCAAAAGGACACGAAAGAGAAGTAATGACTTGGTTTGATTCGAAAGACTTCACTCTGCAAACTTTAACATGTTTCTATATAATATATTGATAATTAGCGGATAAAAGTGGGGTTTAAATTTCATTGTTACATTTTGCACCAAGACCTCCGCGCATGACGTAGACAATTTCTGAATGTAATTTTCGTATTTCGCATAATTGGCTCGATCATGTTCTCAGAAATTTCGCATGCTAGGCCTGTGGCACTCACAGATGATAATGTACTTCTTTTTTATTGATCAGAAGTTACGTAGGACTAAGTAGACGTCTTCAAGATCTATCACAATATAGTGTTTGGTGCGAGAATGTCAAGGTGGCGTCTGGATCTGCTCTTTTTTGCTTGTTTTGCTGCTCAACAAGCGTAGTGTCGTAGTGAGAGTAGTCTTTTCAGGTGTGCGAAAGTATACCTAATGAATACGCGAACAAATTCGTTTATTTTTAGCGTCACGCCCCTTAAGAAAAAAAAGTAATGCACCCTCCTGGTGTGTTCCACGAAAGGCCACAGAAATAGTGATCTTCCAGCTAACAGTTACATTTAGACCGTCCGAACAATCATGCCAGTGAGTGGGCAGACGTGTGAGACAAGAATACACCTTGGAGAAGGTGACAGTGGCAGAGGATTGTATAATGCGAAACTATATGTCTTCTCGCATAGAAAATTTTGGAGCTCCAGTCGAGCAGACTCAGGCATGTGTTCTCTGATATTGCTAGCCCTCTGCATTCTATAGGGGAAACCCGCTCAAGTTTGCCCGCCGTTGCCAGCGCTTGCAATTCCCCTGCCAGAAAAAGCGCACACCAGTAGCATGTAGTGACCCCTCCACTCTCTTTGGCTCCCACGCATTTGCGAAGCGCGCGCTGCACGTGAAACCCCCCTCGTTCCGCGATGTCACCCCAACAGAAAGGGGGGAACTATTGCTGCGTCGTCAACTGTCACAATAGCCAAGAAAACACGAAGGGGTCGACTCCACCAGTGAAATTTTGCCGATTCCCAAACAGATGGTGCGAAAAAACCACAAGACAGGAATGGAATAAAGCACTGCACCGAACGAAGTACATTGCTTTTTTGATAGTTTTCATACAAAGTAAAAATGATTCAAGCAACAGACAATGCAAAAATTTTTAATAAGTTTTCATACGTAGCCATCTCCGTGAAGTTCTTGTATGAAATATTTCTGTGCACACAGATAGTCACAATTGCTAGTTTTTTATTGGGGCATTTTGCCATCGTACATGTTTTCATAGAAATTGATTTCATATGCAGTACTTGTTTTATTTTGTGAATGTAAGGCGTTACTAAAATGATTACGGAAAACCCTTAAACGTATACTTATTTTCATACATCTTGTATATTTTACACTTGAAGATGATAAAAAAATATTGTTATCTGGCGCACTACAGATATGCTTAATCTTGATCACCATACAATACCTGAATAAAAAAATTGGCAGTTCCCACGTACAGTAGGAATCCATGACATGCGAAGCACGAATGAGAAATGATGACATGTCATTTTAAAATCAGAACAACGTTACGACGTGAAGGTAAATGATGCCGTACATGACTTCCGTGTCGTGATTATTATGTTTGGATGTGTCGTTTACCTTTATCATCTATTCACGTCACGTGATACCAAATTTAGTATATGTGGAGCTAGCGAAACGGCCACAAGCACACTATGAGCGTGGTATGTTGTCGTGTTCGTACATGACACGCATGTCAGGATTATCATGTTTGCATCAGTCATATATTTTCCTCCTTCATTGACGTCACGTAACAACAAATTTGGCATACGTAAAGCTAACAAAGTGGCTACGAGTGCATCATGAAGGGCCCAATATACTGCAATGTAGCGTTGATGCGCGTGCACGCTGGGCACAGCGACCCAACCTTAGCAAAACGCGAGTACTCTACAGTCTAACGCCAGGCGCGACCAGCGTCCGTCGGCGCCGCCCGATGGACTGGTGCGAAATGCGACATGCTGCATTTCTCATCGATGCGTTACCGAGACAACACTGCATCTCCCTCTTTTCGTGATGGAGGGACACCGGACGCGCTGAAACACGCATCCGTCAAAGCGACGCAGCACGGCGTGCGTCTGCGAGTATATGGCAGGACTGGCGCCTGGCGTGGCAATGCCGGCGAGCACGCGCACCATGTCACGTCGAAATGTATCGGCGCCTTGACTGCGGCATGTAGTCATGTTCTCACATGACAAGCATCTCATGAATATCTTGTTTGCACCAGTCACATACCTTCGTCATCCATTGGCGTCACGTACAACCGAATTTGGCATATGTAAAGCTAGCAAAACGGCCGCGAGCGCATTAGTGTGGCATGTAGTCATGTTGTTACACGACCCGCATGTCGTGATTATCATGTTTGAATGTGTCATTTGCCAATGTAATCTGTTCGCGTCACGTAACACCGAGTTTGGTACATGTAGAGCTAGCGATACAGCCGCGAGCGCATCATGAGTGTAGCAATAAGTCATATTGTTACATCACACGCATCGCATGTTTATCAAGTTTGCACCAGTATCATACTTTCGTCATGCATTCAATTCCGTGGTACCAAATTTGGTATACGTGGAGCTAGTAAAACGGCTGCCAGCGCATCATGAGCGTGGCATGTAGTTTGAGTTCGAGTTTGACTTTAGTTTATTCACCACGTACAGTTGTACAGTAAGTGGCTGGGACAGAGAAAAAAAGCTGTATGAAACAGCTTGACAAATCCCCATATCCCCATTGCAACTGTGGCAACAAAAACGGCAAAATCAAATGAAACACAGGACAGTTTAAACAGTTTAGTCATGTTGTTGCATGCAACGCATCTCATGATTATCATGTTTGCACTTGTCACATATCTTCGTCAACCATTCACGTACTGTAATGCAAAATTTGGTATATGTGACGTTAGCGAAACAGCCGTGAGCGCATCATGAGCCTGACATGTAGTCATGTTGTTACATTACACGCATGTCAATACATTCATGTTATGGTCTGTCGTTTGTTTTTGCCATGCAATCATGCCATGCCAAACCAGTTTTGCAACATGCCATGTGAAGGAAACCACCGCAAGAGCTGCAGGACCATGAAATGTATAACATGACATTCATTTCATGTTATGACTCGTCAAATAGGTTTTTCAAAGAGTCGTGTTAAGCCAAACCAAGTTTGGTATAGATACCATTATCGAAACGGCCAGGGGAGCTTAAACTCGTAGGTGGTCAGATGGATAGATACGCTCAAAATCGCCGATGTTCGCTAAGAAATGCCTCGCACTTAAAAAACTCCAACGTATAAACGTTGTTGTGAACAGCACGATCTAATCTCTGCCACAGCCTTATTTCGCTTAGGTTGAAGTGTCATTCTGTGAGGGCCGCCAGATCAGCACAAAATTCCGTGGAGCAGGCTGGGCCGCAAGGTATTGCTCAAGATGACCCAGCAATGCAAGATGAAGAGAAGTCTGTTTTCTTCGATGTCTATGACACGCTTTCAAGTGGTTTAGAATCACTAGAGAGGCCAGGGATGCAACTACATTTGCTGCTGAAGATGCGAAGCTCCCGCTTGAGTGGCCACGACCACGACAACTACGAAAAAGAGAAAAAGAAATGCATTATCAGCTGTTGTACGTCCATTGGCAGATACAGTGAACTAGTTACTGAGTGTGCAGGTGCAGCACACTCAGTAACTATAAAATACCTTTATAGTAGTATGTTCTTTCCCCGCATAGTAGATACACCCACAAAAAAAGTTTCTCTGAAAGCTGGGCACCAATCATGATGGTACGCACGCTGTTCAAGAACTCGAAGTACCCGCGATGAGAACAGTGATAATGTAAGGAAGGACAAGCGAGATAAAATTTTTATTGTGGGTCAGAAAGAAGCCCCAAATAGACGATTTATTTTCGAAGTGCTGTGTATATACCACACGATAACTTGAATGGGTGCTTGTGAATTAAGGTATCCCAACTAGTAGCAGTCACAGCGCAAGAACCGCTTAACCTAAAGCACGAGAAGTGGCCTTACCCATGCATCCAGTAACAAACATAGTGCATAGTACTCACAGCAAACCAAATAAAACAGGTATACAATTATGAACGTACAGAAAGTTGTACTCACCTCTAACTCCACGTTATAAACAGCGTCGTCGTTCACTTGCGAAACGCACTTCGCTCTGACAAGGACGGCGTCGTCTGCTAAAACTTGCTTCGCATCGGCTACTTGGCTGTGCAGACGCTGCCCTTTTACCAAATTGCTGCCACGAAAAAAATGTTAAATTGCGGCGATCCTATTAAACGCAGACAGAAGCGTATACATCATAGCCGTGCTTGACGCGAAACTTTCAAAAGCACGTGCAGAACGCGTGCAGCGTGCGAGCAAAGCGACGAGTTTTCAAGGCAGGTTGAAAGGGACAGCAGAGGGGTCAACACTCGAGTAACCAGTTTTCACCCCACATTGACTGACAGTGCCCGGCACTGCAGCACCTCCTTCGGCGTGGGTCTCCCCTATAGCCAGTCACTCGTACAACTCAACAAACAGCTAATACGTTTGAAATAATAGCATTTAAACGCACTACGAACACGGTGAGGAAGAATAGAAAAGTTCAATATAGTGACATGTAAAAGAAGTGAACTGAAGAAATCGGCTGGCTATGTACTCACAGCTGGACATGTACTCCGGAAACTTGAGACCCCAGTAAGACCTGAGGTCGTCTTGCAGGTCCTTCATGCAGTGATAGTGATCGTCACGCACCTTGTGCGTCAACAGGTGCTGAACGAAGACAACGCCGTAGAAACGACAAGCCACGAACTGCCAGGCCTCCTCGCTGAACGGCGTTCTCAGCAGTTTCGCCACAGAAGACCGACAGATGACGAAGTCCGGGAGTAGGCTGCACACACAGATGCCGTATTTTCAGAAAGGCCCGCTCGTTTCAAGAGACGTCTTGCTATGTTGGTAGGATTCTATAGTTTCATCAAGCACGAACATGGACAAGAAAAAAGACCCACTCTACGCTAAGTCGTTAGCTAATTCACTGATTTTCTAAATCAACTCAACAGAAGCGATTTCACTGTCGAGAAGTTGTTGGGTTCATGGCACTGCCCATTCCAGTCGCAAAAGCCAACGAAAGTGCTGTTGCGTTTCCTCAAAGCCCCCGCCCTGCTTCGTCGTTTGTGATTTGAAACGTGAAACTGTTACGTGTTGGCCCAGTCAGTGACTTTTTTCCCCTCTTCTATAACTTTCGTTCCCCCTCTCATCTTCTCCACTTCAGCGTAGCCTATTGGGGCTCAGCTATGGTTAACCTCCCCGCCGTTCTTCTTATTCTTTCTCTCTGTCTCTTTTGTCTAACGAGTCGTGCCGTAGCAAGCAGCCGAGAAAGAAGAGCGGGTGAGCGTTAAAAAGGAATTCTGCTTGACGAATTAGAGAGGCCCGCCTCGGTCTGAAAAGACCAGGGATTCAGGACACAAATAAAGTTTTGTGAAAGAATGAATGAATGACAAGAAATGAAGAAAACTAAATGAACATTTCTTGACGAGGAGGGACTCGAACCCGGTTACCCAAAGCTTGAAGGCGATCGTCCCCACTATTCAGCTATCGAGGCGCAACAGCAGAGTGGGCCCTTGTGGGAATCATAAGAGTGCGTTTCCATGGGCGAGAAGAAAAAAAATGCAGAAAGAAGGACAATAAAGCATAAATAGAAGCATACACAAAGAGACAGAAACTTGCGTAAAGACACCAACAGTAACATGGCTATTAGCAACACCAACAACGGTAAGCCGATATGTTGCAATTGTGCTTGCGATGATAGTAGCTGCGACAGTGTTCCATATACCAAGCCCAATGAATATCGCTAAATTCAGCTGAAGTTAACTTGACTGACGCCAGTATGTAGGAGTGCATATGTAATATTTATAAAAGTTAGCCACCAGTACGGCCACAAATTGCGGGTCACCAGCATTTTGCGTACATATGCTGTCTTTATTTAACGGCAGCCCTCAGACCTGGCGTTGCTCTGTGGTAAAATACTTGATGAGCGCGCACAATACTTGGATTCCATTTTTGCTGGGATGTCAATATAGAACAGGAACATTTTAATCTATCTATCTATCTATCTATCTATCTATCGATCTATCTATCTATCTATCTATCTATCTATCTATCTATCTATCTATCTATCTATCTATCTATCTATCTATCTATCTATCTATCTATCTATCTATCTATCTATCTATCTATCTATCTATCTATCTATCTATCTATCCTATCTATCTATCTATCTATCTATCTATCTATCTATCCCGTCTTCTGTGTTATAATTTACTGAAGCCAGAAAAATGTATTCTGCAGATTAGTAATGTTATGTATTTTACTATTGTTTATTGCGCATATTTCTTTTGTATTCCGGGCTTCTTATCCGTATTGATTTGATTTAAGCTACATGTTACTTTTCTATCATATATTATTCATCATATGCTCTGTTTACTGCTTATGTGACCTTTATTTGATATAAATTTGTGTGATGAATTTTGTATTGCCATATGTACCACTGATTCTGAGTGGCAACAGGAGTGGGAGCCCTTTGTCAGGCCTTCATAGCCTTTTGCACCTGCTCCTAATTTCTGAAGTGGAAGGAAAAATAAACTTAAAACTTCAGACTTGAAGCCTCACTGCTGCTTTTCAGGACGGCGGTAGAGTTGGGAGGGAGAAGAGAGACCATCTGCTGCCCTCGGTGGCGAGAACGACTTAGAGAGGGTGTGCGTGCGGCACGCGCAGTGCAGCGCCAGTCAGCCCAAACAACAGACCAATCACTGGTCGGAGTATAAAACCCGAAAGTGCCAAAGTGTAGAAGACGACAGGGCGGAGCGATGGTTTCGCTCTTTCGTCGATCAGAGAGGAGAGAGCCGAGACTAAGATGGAGGAAGACAAGCGGAGAAGGGGTGCAACCCTCCGCAGCTTCACTCCTAAAAATCTGGATCTTACCTGAAATCGAACGCACACATTCTGCGTGACTATCAGCTGTTCTACCACGAAGCTATGCCATGTCTTGAAACTGCTTCGGAAAAGAGCAACATGCAAGTCGTAAGTTCATTGCAACTGGAATTCATGACTGTAATTATGGATATACAATCTTACAACAAAGCAATGACCTAGCGAAAATTGGTGTAGAAGTTTGGATTGGTTTATTAGGAAATCGGTATTGGTTGTATAGGAAGTCTTTAGGGCTGTATTGCGTGCATAACGACTGTATTGCTACACATAAAACCCGTAGACACACGTATTATATTTTTTATTGAGAAAAATGAGTTGTATTAGTCAAATAGGTGTCACCGATAGGGACAAACATCCACACTTACTGGTTTTTTATTGAACAAATAGTACACACATGAGTCAAATGTGTGTCACTAACTAGAACCAATAGCCACGTGTATTGGTCTTTTATTACTGAAGATTGATATATGGGGCTTAACGTCCCACAACCACCGTATGATTATGAGAAACGCCATAATGAAGGGCACCAGATATTTCGACCACATTGGGTTCTTTAACGTGCAGCCAAATCTGAGCACACAGGCCTACAGCAGTTTCGCCTTCATCGAAAATGCAGCCGCTGCAGCTGGAATTCGGTCCAGCGACCTGCTGGTCAGCAGCCGAGTACCTTAGCCACTGAACCAGTATGGCAGGGCCTTTCAAGAAGCTAATAGGAGTTGTATTGGTCAAGTAGGTGTAGCTGATCAGTTTATTATTGGGTCAATGGGGTTTAATAACACAAATACTAGATGTGTAGGTAAAAAGCTACCACCAATATTACATAATTGTTAAATAGACTGCGTATTGGCCCAATAGCTCCTACTTATTTTAGTTCAATGCTGGGCTAATGGAGAGGGTATTCCTTTAGTTGAAACTATACATAGCTGTTGACCTGATAACTGGCAGCTATTAAGCTTTCATTGTTACAATATTTAATAGTGATGTCTTTACAAGAATCTGTATAGAGTGGATATCCATTTGGTGACCTACTGTTAGCATTTCACGTATGCTTGTGCAGAGAAGTAGAAAGAGAAAAAAAATGAAAGCACTCGTCACACAGTCACAAGTAAAAAGAATAGATAGGAAATATGGGAAAATGTTCAGAGGAGATTCGGGAACCGATTGGCCAGAGTTATACAGCACCACGAGAGTGCAGACAGTGGACCAGTCAGCGAGCTACGCGGGCGCTATAAGAGATCACGAACGACACAACCGTTAGGCACGATATCATTGGGGCGAATTCCGTAAACCGACCCTAGTAAATCATGCCAAATGAAAACGTGCAGAGTATTGAGAAAAATGAGTTGTATTAGTCAAATAGGTGTCACCGATAGGGACAAACATCCACACTTACTGGTTTTTTATTGAACAAATAGTACACACATGAGTCAAATGTGTGTCACTAATTAGAACCAATAGCCACGTGTATTGGTCTTTTATTACTGAAGATTGATATATGGGGCTTAACGTCCCACAACCACCGTATGATTATGAGAAACTCCATAATGAAGGGCACCAGATATTTCGACCACATTGGGTTCTTTAACGTGCACCCAAATCTGAGCACACAGGCCTACAGCAGTTTCGCCTTCATCGAAAATGCAGCCGCTGCAGCTGGAAATCGGTCCAGCGACCTGCTGGTCAGCAGCCGAGTACCTTAGCCACTGAACCAGTATGGCAGGGCCTTTCAAGAGGCTAATAGGAGTTGTTTCGGTCAAGTAGGTGTAGCTGATCGGTTTATTATTGGGTCAATGGGGTGTTCATAACACAAATACTAGATGTGTAGGTAAAAAGCTACCACCAATATTACGTAATTGTTAAATAGACTGCGTATTGGCCCAATAGCTCCTACTTATTTTAGTTCAATGCTGGGCTAATGGAGAGGGTATTCCTTTAGTTGAAACTATACATAGCTGTTGACCTGACAACTGGCAGCTATTAAGCTTTCATTGTTACAATATTTAATAGTGATGTCTTTACAAGAATCTGTATAGAGTGGATATCCATTTGGTGACCTACTGTTAGCATTTCACGTACGCTTGTGCAGAGAAATAGAAAGAGAAAAATATGAAAGCACTCGTCACACAGTCACAAGTAAAAAGAATAGATAGGAAATATGGGAAAATGTTCAGAGGAGATTCGGGCACCGATTGGCCAGAGTTATACAGCACCACGAGAGTGCAGACAGTGGGCCAGTCAGCGAGCTACGTGGGTGCTATAAGAGATCACGAACGACACAACCGTTAGGCACAATATCATTGGGGCGAATTCCGTAAACCGACCCTAGTAAATCATGCCAAATGAAAACGTGCAGACGCACGATGCTTGGGAAGAAATCGACAACACAGAAACCATAAAAATCACAGAGGAAGGAATGCTGTTTCTTTCCTCCATGATAACAATGAAGGAACTGCCACGAGACCACAACCGGCATATAGCCAGCCCTTCACAAAAAAAATCAAATGATGTGTGGCTTGGTAACGTGTGGCGCTGGATGTTTCTACATTATGTTTGATCTACATTAACTTTGTTTCTACATTATCCTTGGTTCAGCAGGCTAAGCCATGAGCTAAACTCCAAAAATCTTCAGATATTATTTACATTTGACAACAATCTATGCCAAGCAATATCAGTTGTGCTACAAAAACACAGGAGAAAATGTAGATCTGCAAACGCGATCACTTCTGGAATAAGAGTGCCATCCACACATGGTCAATCCAAGAAGATGAGGCGATCCTGTGGCCAAATTAAGCCGAAACGTTCAGTGTTTGCACGTGCGTGTTATGGATGAAAGTTTTTTTGCCTCGGCGCAGGCTTCGTATAATATTGATGCTCTTAGTGTGCTTCCATGACGATGATGTG